GTGTCACAGGCTAGGGTTCTCGCATCGAAATGACGGATGTTCAGCAACCCACCATCAATACGGTGCTCCACACGATCACCGTAAGCACAAGTCGCATCAAAAGCACAAGACATCATTGCATGAAGATATATATTAAACAGGGCAGGAGCTAAGACAGGCCTTACTTCGCACCAGAGGCAACTGCAAAGTCATCCGAGGTCTGTCCCCTCAGCTGCACCCTCGACCGTACACCACTGTGTAGACATTCAAGCTAACTTACAAAATTACTAGGACAATCAAATTTATCCAACACCAGCCACAATGCTTCGCGGCCCACCGTATTACATTCTTTGCTGAAATAAACATAAACGAGCACAACGACTGGGGGCCGCTCTCCGCACTTCTGCAACTGACAAGCCACAAACACCATATATAGGATGATGCGACCCGAACGGAATCCACAACGCTCTTCCACCACGTTCGATTCCACAACCTGACTGATAAGGGGATTGAGCAGTATACGGGCAATCACCTTGTCCACACAACTAAGCAAGTTGATACCACGATAATTCGTACATTGCTTGCTCCCTCTGCCCTTGTGCAGTGGTAGCATAAGGGCATCCTTCAGCATAGGGGGTACGTCCTCCTCAATCAACACGCGTTGCGCCAACTAGTGCAGCGCATTCAGGAACGCGGGTCTGCTGTGTTTCAATACTGTAGGCGGGATTCCGTCCGCACCCGCACACCTGCCGTTTCGCACCTGAGCAAATGCTCACTGCGTCTCATCTAGTGTTGGTGTGTCAGACAGACTCACCTTAACCTCGTGCTGCTTCATGCCATTTAATGTAGGCCAGTCAATCTGTGAACTGCTGTTCAAGAGTTAGTCAAAGTGAGTGCGCCAGATCTGTATTATGTATGAAGTTTGTGTGCAGGCAGCACCTAAACCAAATTCGAGCAGCGGCCCTAGCGGCTCCAACCTCCGTCCATACACCGCCTTCAAGGAGGGTTTTGGCGAGTTTGCACCAATTTGACCAGGGGCTGCCTGCATTGAGCCGGGCGGTAGCAAACCATTGAGCACCCGGTGGTGCCCTCCCACCATCAGAGACAATGCGTGGCCCTCATGCTCTACGTCAATCGAGTGGTGAGCTTGTAATTCGTGGACCAGTTGTCTTCCATGGCTAGGTTTTACGGGAAGAGGGACGTCAATCACTTCCTAACCTCCGAAGAGGATGGGGTTTGGACTAGGTTGCCAACACCTAGCAAGCAAACGACTCGGGTCCTCGGACAAAATCTTCGATTAAATTTAAGCCCGAAAGGCAGCGGATGTAGTACATGGTCAGTTCACTTATTCACGCGGATTGGTATGTGGCCTGGCTCTTAACTAATAGAAGGGAGTAATCCAACTCCCACTAAGCGGTCGCTACGAGGCGTCCAGGACATGAGCCGACGACAAAAAGCAAGCAGCAGTGGGTAGACGATCTGTCAGGAGCTATGCACGGCAAGCAATAGCGAACCATGGGCTCACCCAATGGCAGATAATTGGGGTCATTCGGTTCCGGATTTACCTGTCACTGCGGTCTCCACGAGGACAGCTACAGGACGCCTGCGCCCACAGAGCGACCATGTGTGGCTTGCACTGCATCACCCACAGTTCCACGCAAACACCTCATATCCGGTGTAAACCCGAAGGAATAAGGCCGGAAGGCATGTGTACGGGAACCAAGTTTCTTCAACGGAGCCTGCCACACTACATCAACAAGCAGAGCAGAAACATGCATGCCTAAGTGGGAAATCAGGCGTACCAGACGTACACAAGACGGTGGTTGGATCGTAGCCCGTTGCATACTGGATGCATGGAACCACTCTTGGAGTCTGGCATGGTCACGAGGACGGGGCCCCCCGTCCCCTCCAGCAAAGAACAAGTGTCCCCTGGAGCCAATATAGCAGGGACAGTGGGTAATAGACGGGTGGGCACCTTGTCAACATTTACATCAAGCGTAGCCATACCGGGGATATCAATCAACGGTCAACACCTTGAATATAATAATGTCGACACGCAGGCACACGCACAGACCAAGGGCAACGACGATGCGGTATATGTACCACATCAAGCGCCTCATTGACCTAGGTTAGTAAATTGAATCGGAAGCAGAGATTACCAAGCCCCGCGCTGATGATGAGGATACATTTAGTATACTCGTTTTCTCTTAGACGTTGACCCAATGTGGCGACGCGGGTGGCATACCAAACTCGCTTGGATGAGGCATTCGCGACAGCACGTGCTACAGCACAATGCGCTCGAGGTCCATGGGCTATCAACAACTGACACTAGTCGCGCCCTCAACAGACGATCCTTTTCCACATGCAGCAGTGATTTCTCTTTCAAATGGGGCAACCACCTTTTTGATATGCTCTCGCTATCGGCGCCGATCCACTGTCATCGACTCCCAACACCTGAACACAATATTAGTTCTTGATAAACTCAACTTCATCATGCTCTGGTAACGTAACTTCGCACTGGGGACAGTAGCGCCAGTAAACATAGCAAGAATGAGTGGAGAAGTATAATCCATACATGATTCGTCAGCGGGTGTGGAAGCAGCAATAGCTGTGTTCATTGATTTAAAGAATGCGTTACATTCAGTCGATTGATGCATTCTGTTTGAAATACTTGCGCAGAAAGGTGTTCCCACGAAATATGTGAACATCCTACGTGCTCTATACTCGAACACTACAGGCCGCGTCAGGGTCTACGGTGGCCTATCGGATAGCTTTCCAAACACAAGTGGCGTTCGTCAGGGTTGTCCCATTTCCCCATTTCTGTCCAATTTAGTCGTGGATTCTATCATGCAGTGCTCCCTTGCGGAGTCTCACGATGTAGGCGTTGAAGTGCTGCCTGGTGAAAGATTAGTTGATCTTGATTATGCGGACGATATCGTCTTGCTTGCCGAGGATGTTGCGGCGGCACAATCAACCCTGAATAGCCTGCCTAGAGTGGTCCCATTATTTGGCATGCACTTCGCACCTTCAAAGTGCAAAGTATTGCTGCAGGACCATCAGCCACTTTTTGACCTCTAGAGCCTCGCTAAATAGGAACTCGACGTGGATGATCGATTCACTTATCTTGACAGTTGCATCAGCAACGATGGGCACATAGAAAATGACGTCAGCTCACGAATTGCAAAGGTCAGAGGTGTCTTCTTGAACCTGCGACATCCTTGGCGACAGAAGGGAGTTTCCCTCCGTCTGAAAGGCCGGGTATACAAGGCCACAGAGAGAGCCATTCTGCTCTATGGGAGTCAGACTTTGCCTCTTCGGTCTGAAGATCGAAAGCGCCTTCAAGTCTTTGATCATCGATGTCTGCGAAACGTTGCCGGTGTCGGATGGCACCAGCATGTCCGCAATGATGACGTGCGTAGGCGAGTACTAGGTGGTGATAATCATGCTAGCTCCTTAGAACAACAGATAGCATTGAATAAGTTGCGTTGGCTCGGGAACATGCTACGTATGCCTGGTCACCGCTTACCTTAGAAGAGCCTTGTTTAGTCTACCAGGTGTTGGATTGCGCAAGGCTCGAGGTGGACAGAAGTTGACTTGGCAGCGGGAAATGAAGTCACTGACGACCAAACTGGGTGCCGTTGGTCCGTCTCGTCTTCTGGGCTGGAGTCTATGTGACTCGCCTTGTGCTTGGCTCGAGACTTTACAGGACATGGCCCGCAGTAGACACCAGTGGCGCGTCTGCTGCCGTCTCCTAATTGGATTGCCTGTTTAAAGTGTGTTTGGTGCCGTTATCTGCGGGGTAATGGCTGATTATGGCGCGTGGCAGTGAAAGCCGCAAGGAAGCTGTCTCGCCGATGATGTCTTATCTTCGCACGATAGCTCGCTGTTTGTGATGGTATGTTGTCTACACAAGGTGTAGGCGCCTTGACCCTAAATGTTTTCTTGGCGCATTAAGGTTTTCAGTTAAGTCCCCCTTCTCTCCTTCTTATTATTCTTTAGTTCATGGGTCATCGTGGTTGTGTGGCAGCGAAGCATCAGATCAAATGGCTGATGTACTGCCGTTGTTGATGATTTGATGTGAAACTAGCAAATTGCCCAGGCCAAAGAATGTGGTTACCTTAGGGTGCGCTACGCAGAGTCTTTGACCAAGGATCTAACCAACGAGGCAGCAGGGCGATAGGAAAGCATCTCAGCCGGTTGAGAGCCAGTGAGCAAGCGAGTGGTTCATACGCCTTAATGACCGCAAAGAACCAGAGAGCCAACACACCCTTGGATTACAATGCCACTCAGAGGCAAGGGACAATGAGTTCACTTAGTGACGAGTCACATTTCTCACGTCACAGCGTTGTTCAACGGACGTTTGTGGATTTTTATGGGAGAAACGCATGCCAAGCGAAAATCCACCAAGTCCGGGAACACTGCCACCGGACCATTCGCAGGCACAACGGAGAGATTGTTCACCAGAAAAACAGCCACATAAGATCCCGATACACATGCTAAAAACGGATATGGGGATGGAGCTACGCTCTCGGGTTAGTTCTCTCATGTATACACTGAATTGTCATTCTCAATCAACTTTTGCAACTTGAAAGACTGTGACATCAAGAAAGGCGAAACGGCGAGAAGCCCAATAGCGTCAAAAGGTACGAATCAACAAATCCCCCAAAACACTACATCATAAGTGAAACACTAAAAAAGTATTGCGAAAGCTTCATCTCGCCTTGGCCCTTGTGCACTCAGCTGACCTCCAACTGAGTAGCAACGAGCCTAAACTGGTTATCAGTGTCCCATAGAGATCTCGCTAACGCTTTTGTAGTTATATTCCACAGTGGTAAGATCAAAATGTTGAAAATGCGCCCACATGGGTGGATAATACTATTTTTGACTTAATTTGGAAAGAAAGATAGATAGAATCCCACGAAGACAAAAGAAGCAGTTAATTAAGAAGGTAATTTATATGATTAAAGGCAAAAATATGGCTTAATAAAACAGCCTGAAGATGTACTCAGCGTCGCACTTACTCAAATGAACAGTTTTTAAGTGAGTCTGGAAGTGAGACTTGGAGAAAAACGATTTGCCACAGTATTCGCATATGTGATCTCGTTGCACTGGAACAGAAAACAAAATGTTCCCAGTTACGTACAATATCGAGTAATGAACTACGTCGTGATGCAAAATCAATGCACACTGACCACTGGGGATATTAAAAATGAAGTCATATCTACGACTTGCAGCTGAATTATTGGGAACAAGGCGTAAAACTACTTAAGGGTATATAGCTCTCACTCGCACTAACCGCAGTATCGCTACAGAACAACAACTGGGAATTAACTTATGTCGAGGGTTTGGTATGCAAATAAACGTGTGTCTATTCCATTATAACTAAATGCGCAACCAAATTTGGATTACATGTAGAGATGGGTGACTATCTTTCCGTGTGCTGAGTTCATTCATATGCAGTACGTAGATGAAGAGCAACCGGATGAACGACTGAGAATCAGAGCAAACAGTGATCATAAGTGACTAGAGTGTCAATCTAGGGATCAGCATACGTTAGATTCGGTACAGACGCGACAACCCCGACTAAAGTATAGCCCAGTAATTTAGTAAACTGGTAGCAGTGGTACCCAACAGATGTAAACAGGAGCGATCAAGTCAACCGAACCTAGCAAGGATGAAGTGACGAACGAATTGACCGCACACACACACACACACACATACACGGAATGAACGCGGTCTCAACTCTGAACATTGCGAAACATCGCACTGCATGTCAGTCGGAACATACAATGAGTTCCGATGCTTGTCGTTTGTCGACACATTCAACGGAAAGATTACCGACTCCATAGCCTTTTAGGAGGAAGGGAGGATGCAACAATCCTGGTGATCGAATATATTGGAGAAGTCCAAATAAGTGATTTCGATACCTGTCTTGATAACCGCTCTTTAAGCCCAAGTACCGCAGGTCTGACCATGTTTGACCGGAACAGTGAAGCTAGGGCCCTACGATGTCATCATCCTTCGAAATAATCCAAGAATACCTCAGTACTGACGGCATCCACCAGCCATAAAAGTATCAGGAAGAAGATTGTTGGCCGGCAGTTGGTGGGATTTAACGGTGATCCCAAATAGTACAAAGGTCTGCTGTTCCCACGGCAACTGAGAAAATGCGATAACGGCTCAGTCACTACCGCATATGCCACCATCAGTGACTTCGAGTGAATTCAATCAGTTTCGGGGAACAATGCGTACGCATATGTGGTCGCTCCTCCAACACAGCGACAAAACCAAGGTTGAGATGTGTAAATCCTGGTGATTGAAGCATAAATGAATATGAAACATAGACTGCCGAGTAAAAATAATGGTGCACACTACAGCCACTGAGTGCTGCCCAACACCATCAGTGATTTGCGCCCGTCCAATGTGTGCGCGATTTCACTTAACGGATGAACTGCACGTACAAGTATAGTTGCTGTGACGGCGAACAAATAGGCGACAGGAAGATCGGTAAGCGGAAGTTTGCTGAGACTAAGGACCACCCTTCTTAACTACTGGATTAATAACTATCTGATTCCACAAGGTGTGCTAGTTCATGATTTGTCCAAATACGTTTGTTGGAATATGGCAGAGTTGGCCAACATCCTATAAGCAAGTTACAACGACATTTTAAAAGCATGATCCCGCCTAATACGCAAGTGCCCAGTCATCGCCACAAACACATAACCGCGAGTTGTCCCACACATCATTTGTCTCGGCCACAAGCGAATTAATGCATGATCGCTAGTCCTATCGGTTAACCCAGTGGACCAAACGAACTGAAGTGAAACCGCGAATATGATTCCATGATAGGCACATTTAGAAGAATCAGTCAGTAAAACAACAGCTGGAGGTTGACCTACTCTCAGGCCCATCAACCGGCCGGCTGAACGCAACACGTTGAAGAAAACTGTCCTTAGTGGAATCAGCTGAACCTAAATGGGAAGTGGATGTCATACACCAAGTTTGGAACAGACTCGACATGAAGTTGCTACGTTGACAGGAAACAAATCTGCTGGATCCGATGACCTCCAAGCATCCTTTCTGAAAAGTAGAAGGGACTCTTTCTTGGCTGAACTTGCTCTATTCAACGCCATTCAGGAAACTGAGATTGTTTTCAGACTAGCGACTGCCAAACTGCTGTGAGCATCTTCAGAACAAACTCAACATACTTTGCTATCGAACTACACACGGCTACAATTCGTTGGTGACTTACAAGTTGTTCTGCGATCCTAATCAATAAAAACAAAGCAGGCATTCATCCTGATCGAGACTACTGCTAACCCACCCATCCACAGAGGCAAAAGCTGTCGGGCGAACGACTGACAAATAATTAGTGAAGGCCAGCAACACAGAAGAGAATGACACAGAAGGAAATAGAGGAGCAGCCAATCCATAGCTAAATTACCGGATGGAAAACAGAGTTGTGAAAAGATGTATCATCAAATAGAATGAGCACACCCGCTGGCACACACACACACGATGGCTCCGCTAGAGATCAGCTAACACGAGGTAAACGACATAAGACGCACACTTGATTTTGAAAATTCGAACATTCCGTACAACAATTATGGACTACACTGTGGATATACTGCGATGCTGATCCGGCTCAAATGAAGCGATATCAGTCGCGTACTCACTCAAATGAATACCGTTGATGTGCACTTGTAAACTTTGATATCGGGTAAAGGTTTTACCACAGCGCCCACAGATAAGACCGCGGTGTTCTGAATTAGGGAAATGAAAGTGAGCACGTACTGATGAAGCAAATGGAGAAAACAGGTGCGAAATATCCAGTGATCTGTCGAAATGGGTGTATAGAGAAATGAAAACTGATAACTCGGGTTGTTCGAGTGACGGTGAAACTGTTTCCTGAGCTTTCAAATTTCGTTGCTGAAGTATCATCAATAATCAAAGTGAATACAAGAGAGAAGCTCCGGATTCCATACGCGATCGCACGCAACGTAGAACGCACTAATAAGGTCACGTGGATAAGTGATGAAACAGCTGCAACAAAACTGAGGAGCCCATTTGCGGCATAAGACAGCCTCACTGATGACCAATAAATCCTAGGTTTCCTAGTCTAGAAAGTGAATGTGAATCCAGTTATCGTCTAATATGAAGGACACGTAAGAAATGTCTTAATGGTAACAACGGATGGATGCTAATTTTGAGCGAAAGATCAAGTGTCCCAAAACATTGCATTACCCTTATGATCAGGCATAAAGAAACCAGATGGAGCCCTCACCACAGCATTACTCGATTAATTTAATCCTTAACCCAATGTGTTTAATCTTTTACTCATCAGCTTTCGTCCGTAATGCAGCAAATTTAATCAAATACCCATCTAAATTTATTCCAGATCGCACTGAGAGGTCAGCCGTGGATCGCGCATGAGAGACCTTGCGTACGTGTGGAATGCGTGATCGGTGCCAAACTTTCAGGGTTATTACGCCCAATGGCCTGAGCGGGACAACCTGATAACCAAACGGTGAACATCACCAGCGCTTGCAAAATTGTACTACTGCTGTTCATTTATCCGGCCCCAATATTATCACACGCTCATTTCTCCGTAATTCCATTAGGGACTCCCAGTGGTGTTTGCACAAAATTCTACACCTTTCCGTTTAGGTAACACAAATTGGTTGGCCAGATCCACTGCCTTAGCCTTAAACCAACCGCTTATGTCATCAGTGCCAGGTGTAAGAGTGGATAATTGCTCGTATATGTTTTCAAACTTTACTACAATTTCTATTCTGTCCTCTTCACTCCATGGTATTGAGAAATTAAACCCAAGAGATAGCGTCTCGAATTGTGGATGACTTAGAGAAACGCAGGACCAATTAAGCACGTACCTCTCAGCTTTAGTACGTATCTGACCAATGAAGCACTCCACTGACGTCCAGTTCAGTTGTTGCTTTATTGACAAATGTGTTTTTTAAGCATACCAGGGGGAAAGTTGAATAACTTTACTCCGTATACAATATTCAAACTCTCGGTACATCCTATTCTGACATTTGACTCAGCAGATTGAATGTGGGCTCGGCCAGATCATAATCCGCCTGCTGTAAGCATTTGACTTCAATTCCAAACTTTACTTCTTGGTAGAAACTGGTGCGGAAGACAGCGTTCCATCCCGTTCTCTGGAAAAACGCCCCCTGCAACCAGCTGGTTCAGTTACAGGCGGCCAATCCAACTAAAGCGCAACTTACGGCCAGAAACTAGTTACCTCAAGCCTAGGACTACGACGTAAGATTCTCTTTATTTGCACCATCGTCGATGTGCACGGTTCAGGTCCTCCGTGGCAGAGATTTTGTCTACGTTTACCTAAGAGATATATTGATAGTAAGCGCGAACCCCGATGAGTATATATCACATATCCGAATGGTTCCTGTACGCTTTGCGCATCACGGAATAACCAACAACCCGGACAAATGCATATCTGATGAGCCCATCGTTGAGTTACTGGGTCACAGGATCGATGGTGTTGGTATCAAACCTCTTCCGAATGAGACCCAAGCGATCCTAGACTACCCCATGCCTACGCCGATTCCTCGGCATAGCCAACTATTACGGCAGATTCATACCCAAATGTGTGGACACCCGTTACATCGACAGTCCAAACAACAGTTTCTGATGCATTATCGAGTGTTCATCTGAAACAAATGTTACCGAGACCCATAGACCCGGAGAGAATATCTGCCGCTCAAGCCAATGTTCCGAGTCTGCCTAACTCCGACCAAATGATACATTAAAATACGTGCATTTATCATCCATACGCATCATAAGCCCCTTACTTTTCCTTCACGTGGTTTCTCGAATCGCTTCTCACCTCGAGAATGTCTTCAGTTGAATCATATACCAATCATCGACATTCGGCACAATGATGCAGCGCACAGTGTTGTAGTCGACGCATTGTCCGGTATGGGTCATCACGAAGTTTCGCGCCAGGCAATCAAGTTATAAAAAAGTGCTGCCCATCAAGAAACAGATCCTCGGTTTGAGCAGTTGAAAACATATCTTCTATCAAACTTTCTCAACCGCCGGTTCTCAACTCGGACTCTCGAATTTACTATGATATATCCACCGGAAAACCGCGACCATTCGTTCTGCATTAGTATCGACGAGTTGGGTTTGACCACTGGTATGCAATCTCACATCCGAACAGCCGCGCTACCATCAAGCGGAGTACGGATCGCTACATCTGGCCCAGCATACGCTCTGATATCCAGCAGTGGGCGAAACCCTGTATTATCTGTCAGAGCATTAATATATGTCACCACACGATTACTGTTCCTCAAACCTGTTCTCTGCCCGACGCTCGATTCAAGTACGCTCATATCGAGATAGTTGGACCTCTACCACCATCCAACGGTTTATTTACGTGTCGACAAGTGTCGATCGCTTCACATGTTGGACACACGACGTGCCGCTGCGAGAAGTCTCAGCCGAGACGGCGGCACGAAGTTTCATCGAAACTTGGATATCCGTGTTGGGCAACCCGTCACTATCACACTGATGGAGGACCCCAATTTAATTCTGCACGGTTTCGTGACCTTAATCGCATGCTTGGCTGTTCTCATTTACGCACGATAGCATATCATCCGGCTGCTAATGGTTTAGTTGAGTATTTTTACCGCCAACTCAAAGCCGCACTCACTGCGACGCAATCGAATAGCCAGTGGTCGCAGCGTTTACCAAGCATTCGCCTCCGTATCCGAAACACTGTGAAGGAAAACATTGGTTGTTGTCCCACAGAATTAGTCTTTGATACGACACTGAGACTTCCTGGAGAATTAGTACTAGATTCCGGGGTACCTGGCGAAGTCGATGCTACGCCATGTGTTGCACGACTGGAACAATAATTCAGCGCCATTCGTCCAACGCCACCGCGATTCACTTCCCGACTTGCACACGTGCCCCTTCGTTTTTGTACGCATCGACGCGGTGCGCAAGCATTTGACACCGCCTTACGAAGGCCCTCTCAAAGTCATCGCTCGCAGAGACGGATTTTCTATTGGACAAAAATGGTTCTAAAGACTGCCAGTATGGATCGCCTGAAACCAGCCTACGTTGAATTCCTGTCACCGCAACAGACTCCCGAACTGACGCTGAACAAACTCTGTCACGGAGCACTCCACGGACCCAAATGATGTGCAGTTCCAGTGCTCCCACTCCTCCGCAATCAGCACTTGTCAGAAACACAGACACACAAAAGCGTACACGTTTTAGACGTGCAGTTATTCTTATTTCTAAACTAACTACTCACGTCAGATGGCACATGTCAAGTGTTTATTTTCTGATCTCAAGCTGTAGGGAGGCGGGAGTTCTGTAGCTGCAACGAGTTTCCTAGCCATTACATGAAAACTGATATTCAGAGAAGTCCACAGCACGGCATTCAAAGGCGAACGTGGTACTAGGAACGAACGGGTGCCCGACGGTGCTAAGAAAAAAGTATTCAAAAACGCTACCATTCAAAGGTGGCCAAAATGACAGGAGATTTCGTTACCATCACCGTCAGTCTATGAAAGAATGTTATTAGACCGCTGAGCTTGTGCTTTTACACTAAGGTAACAAGTTGTTGTCTAACACCAACCTGAGCAGGCCAGACTATTGAGTTACCACCTCAAGCATTTACCTGTTTCGCTGTACCTGAGGTAGCGAGTACGTTGACCGAACTGAGCGAACACTGTCCACAAGGATTTCAAAGCATATTCCTCGAAAAATGATCGCAAATGGTCAAACGCTGTCTGCCAGTTCGATCTTTCGACACGTGCTTGACTGCTTCATGTGTGAAAACCCCCGTGAATCATTTAGCGTAATCAACCAACAGAGCGTCGGACGCCTGCTTCAGTTCACTGAGGCTTCGACAATTAGGCGGCCGAAACCCAATTTGTGTAAACAGACTGAGTTTGTCGCCAGTCTCGTCATGCGTTGGTGAGGCTAGGCGGAGTGCCGACTAGCATCAGATGAACTTTAACCGTAGCCTACTTTGATGGAGGGACTCGACCGGGTCGTATGCATTGATCATACAGGAAATCACCGACGCCTATGGTAATCATTATCTATGATATACGCCCAAGAACATGTACAATTTTGCCTAATTTAGCCGGAAAGGCGTAACATGTCTTCGCACTATTGGTAGCTCGCAATGCGGTACATAACGACCGGTTAATAACACCTGGTCTATCACTGCAGCGAGAACCCCCTGTAATCGTAGTTTACAGTAAGTATTGCTATCCCTGAGAGAACCTTCGCAGTGTCTGAGGTAATTCCAACTGAAAGCCACGATGTACCCCAAATTGCTTCTAAAGAAAAACATCAGTGAACGTTAACAAGAAATATAACAGTGATGTTGAACGAGTTACAGATCGAGGAGGGGTATAGTTATTTCGTACATGTTGCAGCATTTGTTGACGGTGGTGCAGCGTCACGCAGGCACGTGCTTCTGCAACAACCTGCTCCAAGAACTACATCCTCCATTCAGTCTTGCTCAGTACGCCATTCGGATCCCCTCGGAGCATTTCGGAATATCACCGCCTCATGGTTTGTTTAACATAGACCTTAATGATACTCCAAATCCCTTCGAGCGGGTTCAGTTGCGGGGAGTACGATGCGAGTCGTAGAAATCTTCCTGGGCTGTAAGGCTTCTCTTGAAACATACGCTCCAGATCGATGTGACATGGTGCGTCACCACAAATAAGGAGACAGCATTCGGCGAAATGGA